CTGGTTGGATCTTCTCCAAGTCCAAGGCACTCTCAGAACTTTCCTCCAACACCACAGCTCAAAAGCATCTATCTTCCTTCGCTTACGAAGGTCCAGCTCTCACATCCGTAGGTTACTACAGGGAATACCATGGCTTTGACTAGGCGGATCTTTGTTGCCAGTGTGATGTCTCTACTCTTTACTATTTTATCGAGACTGGACATTGCTCTCCTCCCAAGAAGTAAGCGTCTTCTGATTTCCTGGCCACAGTCTGCATCTGCAGTAATCTTTGCACCTAGAAATACAAAGTCTGTCACGGCCTACACGGTTTCTCCCTCTATTTTCCAGTTGTCAATCATTCTTGTTGCCATAATCTTGGTTTTTTTGACGTTTAGCTGCAACCCGGCTTTTGCGCTTTCTTCTTTCACCTTGATTAGAAGGCTCCTCAGCTCCTCCTCGCTTTCGGCCATCAGGTGAGTGTCATCTGCATATCTGAGGTTGTTAATGTTTCTTCCAGCAATTTTCACCCCAGCTTTGCATTCATCCAGCCCCGCACATCGCATGATGTGTTCTGCATACAAGTTAAAAAGGTTGGGTGAGAGGATTGGGTGTATTGTTTTAGCATGTATGTTTTCTGAGATTGCTTCTAACATTATCTTAGGATCCCCAAATGGCATGCTAACAGAGGCAACAAGGGGATTGCGCCAAGACTCCAAATTGCAGATTACACTTTCTCAAGCCTTGCTTTGCGAATATAGGTAGGAAAGCATCTAAGACTTGACAATTCTCTATTGCATAGCTAAAAGGTCAGATACCATATTCTTGGAGTCAAACTGGACAGGACTGGAACTCCAAATGTGCTTTGCCTATTGGAGAAAAATCCTATCCAGAATGCAAAGACAGCATGGGGGAAGAATTATTTTTTTCTTTCCCTCTTAAAGAGTTTTTTAGCTGATGTTTCAGTGCATATTTGCCCAATTGGGAAAATTTACAGAAAAAATAATAATGTTCCTATAATGTTATTCTCACCAGGAAAGGAAAGCATGTGTGGGAGGGTTAAACATCAGGTGCCAAAATCCTAATCAGCGGTCCTACATAGTTATAGCATAATGATTCCACCTTAACAGCCCCGGCTCCAACTACAGAATCCTGAAGATTGTAGTTCGATGAAGCACTAGAGTTCTCTAGCTAAGAATTATAAATACCCCTCAATAAATGGCAAATCTCAGGATCCCACAGTATGTTGAGACTGTAATTAAAGTAATGCTACAACTGTATAGTGTGAAAGGGACTCTGGTTATACTATCACCTTCTGCCCCTATGGTTGCTGCTTGTAAAAGAATAAGGTGTTCCTAGCTTAAATCTCATACTTCCAGAGTTGCAGGCATAACTATTTGTTTTCTAGATGTTACATTAAATATATATTGAAATATGTTATTAAAAATTGCCTGTAGATACCAAGAAGGGTTGAATTCAGTGTCTGTGGATGGAAAACCGAGCAGCCCAGTTTACACGAACAGTAGACTCAGGATAGTGGTAGAGGGCCACATTGTTAAAATCTTTCCCCCAAAAAAGTAATGAAAAACAGACATACAGGGAATCTAGGGTCAAATTAGCTCTTCTCCCAGATATCTAATTTTCCTGCTGGTGCTGTGTATATTTATATGTGATTTCAGTCCAAAGAATCACAGTCCAAAAGAGATTTGCCATCTCAGCTGTTGCGTAAAATTACCTCTATAATCAAGAGGTAAACAAAATTACCTCTATAATCGAATGGCCACAGGTTAGAAAGTCATGATATAACTTACTTGTGAAGAACTTTATACAGTTTGGGTTGCTCTGAGTTTTTTGGGCTGTATGGCCATGTCCCAGAACCATTCTCTCTTTGTAAAGAATGCTTCTGGAACATGGCCATACAGCCTGGAAAACTCACAGGAACCCAGTGATTCTGGCCATGAAAGTTTTTGACAACACATTATGTCAGTTTCTCTCTTTTCACTAAGACAGATATTGTACTCTCAACTCCAACAGTGAGTCATCGCTTTTCCTAGATTTCATATACCATGTTGCTGGTACAGTATGAGTCCTTTATCCACAGAGTATGTGCTTCTGAACATACAGTGGAAATAAGTAACGGTGGATCCTACTGAAATGAACAACTTCAGGAAGTCACCATAAGGTGTCCCTGGAGGACCTATTGAATTCCTAGAGAAATTCCTAACACATTTTGTCAGATATCAGCAAATGAAACTGCAGATATGAGTCCCAAGGGTATGGGGGTTGTATTGTATATACTCTTATTTAGTGACCGGTGATGAAAGAGAGAGGGGAAAGGAAAGCAGGAAGGAGGGAAGGAAGAAAACAATGGTTCTCCCTTCAGTTCTTGCTGCTGTGATGCCCCTCTGAGGTTTTGACATTAGTTCTTTCTTAGAGTACAAGAAGACAGAGGTGTACTTTTTAAATATTACATTTTGAAGCAAAGCTGATGCTATCACATCAGGTGTTTCCCTTAATCTTTATTTCT